AGAACTGCCTTGTCTTTCACTTTCCAATCCTAATGCTTTTATAATAATGGAATGTGATGCCTCCGAATTGGATTAGGAGGAATCCTAAAGCAACAACTTGATAAAACGTAACATTTGGTCCGCTATACTTCTAGAGCCTGGAATAAAACGCAGCAACATTATTCTATGGTGAAAAAAGAAACATTAGCCATTGTTCATTGTGTTTCTAAATTCCAAAGTGATATCTTGAATAAAAAATTTCTCATTCGCACTGATTGCAAAACCGCCAAAGATATTTTGCTCAAGGATGTAAAAAATCTGGTTTCTAAACAAATCTTTGCGCGTTGGCAAGCAATTCTTTCTTCCTTTATATTTGATGTGAAACACATCAAAGGAAACACTAATCTGATTTTCTCACTCGTGAATTTTTGCAGGGGGGACAGAGATATGAATAACAAAGTCCGCCGTCTAATAATTCATACAAATACAAATAAGAGTAAAGCAAACGAAATAGTCCCTTTACATATGGGAAAAGGAAAAGAAATAGTCCCATCTTCATTCGGGAGCCCTCTTATACGTTCTCCTGTTACTCCTAACCACCTCATAACGAGGCAAGCTTCTAGCCCAGCTAGAACTCCAGCATCGGAAAAATCAATATTTATAGAAACCTCTTTCTTATCAGATTCAGTAATAGAAGATGAACATATGGACATAGATCAAGTTAATTTGGCCAACCTATATTTAATAAACCATATGAGCCCTTCCAATAATAATAAGACTAGATAATGGTATGAGGCCATTCTTCTTGAAACCGACTCTATAACCCTTGTACCTTTTTGTCAAAAGAATACAAATACCATTGTTTATTCTAAGTTCCAAATAAGGAAAATTATTTCCTATAACGAATGGGGAATGGACCCCACAAGAAGCAGAAAGCTCAATGCAACAGAATTCAATAACAAATATTACTGGTATTCTGGGTACATAGACGCTTGGAACAGGGTATTCTATCTCCAAAACAATACTAATTCCCATTCCTGGTTTATACAGATAAAACTTCCAGTTGTCTCTGAACTTCCAAATTGGTTCAAAATATGGTTCCAGATTTGGGGATCTAGATCTGATATATTACCACAAAAAATATTGCTTTCTCAACAAAAGTTTGCTGAATACAACAATAAAAACCCCAAGCTTGATATGCATCTATACTTCATGGCTCTTTACCAAATCCCGTGGATAATGAAATGGACATATGCAGTAACTGATGACTATACCCAAAATTGGGAATATATTCCTAAATTTGGAAAACAAGTTTATATTAAATGGTGGGACGTATATGAGAATAAAGCTGTAGACCTTGAGAATATAAAATTAAGAAAGATTTCTACTCCCGTCCAGGAGAAAAATGAAGAAGATCATTTTTCTGAAAACATAAATAAAATGAAGCAGCAAAACCCAACTGCTTCTAAAGAAGAGTTAAAAAGAAAGTTGCTACAAATGTTTGAAGAAGAAGCTGAAGCTATGTCAACTTCAACAAATGAGGAAGATCTTACCCCTGAAGGAGAAGATTGCGCGCTTATACAACCACAGATCGATTTTCCATGAAAACCTGTTAGCTCGAAAATATGCCCGAATAAAAGCCCAAAAGCCGCCAGCTGCTGCATTACTCTGTCAACATCAAAAGATACTATCTGTCTGCCACCTGTCCATAGTTACTATTCTACCGACACAAATCTTACTATTCCAAGATGCCGTCGTGCTACCACTTGTTTACTGCATTTTCTATTCTTGTACTTTGTTTTCCTATTGTCTGGAGAAAAATATTTGAATAATTATTTTGTTGAGGTATTCCTTCAAGCTTTAGCCATATTATGGTCAGTTTCTTTAGGTCCTATTTTGAAAGGTGAGGCTTTAATCTCAATTTTGTCCCCGAACTTCTCTCCTTTAAGTTGTAAGCTAGTCTTAGGGGGATGAATAGACTCAATTGCTTCTCCTTTGGTAGTTTGAATGGTTTGAAAAGATTTTTCAACCATATTTGCTTCAAATTTTGGAATTTTTATTCCATAATCTTTTGCTATGTATTTTAACTATTTAAAAAATTTGACAGTTGTTTTCTGTTTTATCATGAAACGAATAAATTTTAGATGGAAGGCATCTCTAAGAGGTTCTTTAAGTTCTTTGAAGAACCATTCTCTTATTAGTCTATTTTCTTCAGAGTAGAAATCTTTTCTGTTCCTTTCCTTATCAATCTTGAATTCTTCTTTTTGAATATCAAAGTCAAGATCTGAGGGTGTTGGTTCTTGTTCTTCTATTTCAGAAAATCCCAGAGTATCTACTCTATAGACTGGTTGTTGAACCTGATTTGGAGTCCTATTAAGTCTTTCAATAATAGTTCTCCTATGAGTGGGTATTCTTTCATATTCGGATTGTGGTACAGGAGAGGTCGAGCTTCTAGGAGGATCCCTAATGCTTGATTCACCAATCCTTAATGTAGTTCTTCTGGAGTATGGAAAACTTATCTCCATTTCTCCATCAGAGTATTCTATGATTTGTTCTGGGTCTCTATTTTCAGGATTTTTAATCTGCGATTCAGATTGTAAGGACCATGCCACTGATTTTGGTATGACTAAATTTGATTTTTCCATGTTTGTCTGGAAAAATATGGTTTGTTCTTTCAAATCCATTTGCCTGGCATTTGGACACAAAGTATTCGTTACTTTGTAACATATTCTATAAATGAATGCCAAGTTTTGAGAACCTGGGTCCATATCAAAACCTTGGGTTTGGAAAACAGTTAAAATAAATGGGGCCATTACAAAGACTGGATTCAAATATTCCTAACAGGGAATCAATGAATCTTTTATGCCTGCTGTCTCTTAAACAGAGTAGAACATAATTATTTAATCCTGTCCTTGTTAATGGTTTGACAGCTATTTGTACCAACCCAATATGCAAGTATTTGATCTTTCCTTTTATGATCTTCAATCATTCTTGTGGAAAACAATTGGAATTTGTCCTGAGTTTCCATAACAGATATACTTTGTTCAATGGTTTGATGGAAAAACTACTTTTGAAATCAAACATTCCTTTACTATAAACATCTGTTATAGGTACCTTATATATATTCCAATTTTGGATCTGTTTTTCTATATTATCTATTATTACTTCTTCTCTATTATTAACATGTAGTGTATTACTAGTAGTAGCTGACCTATTAGATAATGATCTGATGAAATTTTCCATTGTAGTTCGAGTCAACTGGAAACAGGCCCTACACTTTCCTGGTTCTTCTTGGCCTTAGTGATCTTTGGGTCACAACGACTTTGAACTACTACTGCAGATTTTCATAATCTTATTTAATAATTCAGTTTTCTACTAGAGATACAATGAGACCACTGTAATAGTAACTAGGCTCTGATACCATAATACAAAAAATTCCCATAGCTATTACAGTGGTCTAACTGTATCTCTAATAGTTGAATCCAGTCTCTGTAATGGCCCCATTTATTTTAATTGTTTTTCAAAAATTTTGGGTATTAAATTGGGTATCAGTAGACAAACCATATTTTTAACCAAAGGAGATACTGTATCAGTGGTCTAACTGTATCTTCGACAAAGTGACTGTAGTAACAGATGGTTTGTCTCCTTTCAAACTATAATACCATTATAGTAGTTTTATTATATGCAATTTATTATGGCAATAATAGATGGTTAAATTTATTACAGCAAAGGACTTCTTGTCTACTGATAGTATAACACAAACACAAAATGTTGTCTCTCATATATAACACAAACTACCAAAGGACAATTAGAAAAACAAAGCATTTTTCTGTTTGGGTTTCATAATACAAGAACCAACTCAAGAATATCGGGGACAATATAATACAATTTTATTGTCTTCTGTGACCCAATTTTTCTTGTATTATATTGTCTTCTCCAAATTGACCAAAATACCGTGAAACGTTTTCGGGGTATTTTGGTCAATTTATTTCATGTAAAATATTTTTTTGATGTTTTCGTAGATTCGCCTATTTTTAATGAACACACGCTTCAAATTTTAGATAATTTTGATTTGTAGAAAAAAAAATGAAAAATGAAACACTACTGGACAATCGTGACCGTGCGATGAACTTTGGACGGTGATGAAGGTAGGCGAAATTACTGTTCATTTTCTGCTATAAGCGTTTTGTAGTATCTTCCTATATATATATATATATATATATATATATATATACACACACACACTACCTCTCTTCTATTCTAGTCTTATTTAGTGGTCGTGCTACGTCCGTACCCCGTACCGTCCGTCGTCGTGGTACGTATGAGTAGTACG